CATCCGTGATTGTCGTCAATAATTAATAAAAATAAAAAATTATATTTTTGTTTTAAAAACAATGTTTTTGGTACAAATCACTGCTAACCATTCTGCTTGCCGTCCTAGGCCGTGGCCTAGTCGTAAATACGGCACTGACTAGGATGATACAGACAAGATTTTCAAGCTTTCAAGTAGAACATTACTATGTAATAGCAAATTTTGCTAGCATAAAATATATTACAATGTCAGATTTTCTAGCAATGTGAAAGCGGTTAACGTTAGAAAACACGTCAGAAAACATAGAATACGAATCAGCTGGACTTTTAACTTTCCAAAACAGTGATTTGTATCCTTATTGTTCTTCAGCAAAGTAAAATCCGAAAACTGTTCTTTTCCCACACTGAAATTTTTATCTGCACATCACTGAATAATGGATGGATTTATCATTTTATACCTACTTGTGATTACTATTTGAGCGATGCATAGTACGATATGAGTGGCTTGTATACCCTAAACTTGTAGTTTTTATTGGGGAGGGATGGATGGATTATTGGTTGGATGGATGGATATGGGTGGTTGTCTTTAATTAAACTCTTAATACTGACAGTAATTAATTTATATATTTCATCCTTAATATTGCAAAGTATGTTAAATGAACATTCAAGAATTTCTAAATAAATAAAGAAAAAATAACTACAACACAAGAGGGAAGATGAGACTGTGTGTACAAATGAATATTAGCCAAAACTGGATCATCTCACAAAATCAACAGCATCAAATCTCTTAATGAACTACTGTTTTCATGCCAGATAGCATCTCTTAATGTTTTTAAAAGGGGAATCCATCAAAGCTGGTTAAAACCCACTTTTTGTATGAGTTAGTTTTTAGATTTCCCTGTCATATTATATTTGTAGTTTGAACTACCTGATGTCTTTTCTCAAATACATATTGACATTAATTATGGCAAAGCCTATTTTAACGGCCAATAAAATTTTCAGTTTTTCTGAATATTGGAAATATGAGTGAACGGATGAATGGATGGACCTATGTGAATGAGTGGATGCATGAATAAATGTGTGGATGAAATGAATATCAATTTTGTGTAGGTACTAAAGTGTTCATGGCACTACAGCTTGATAAAACTTTTAATAAACATTCACAAAGTAAGACTAGTCAATGATTTCTTGTGCTAATTTTATGTATGGGGGCAAAAAATATAATCCAATACTAAACAAACAGTTATAACAGTTCAAAAAGACATGAGCCTTGAAAGTGCTCAACTAACGTTCTAGAAAATATTATTGACTCTGTCTACTACCTAATGTAAATACTATCTACAAAAAAAAAACGTGATGTCAAAATATTCAAGAGCTACAGTGGGCTGAACATGCTAATAAACATGGTAGTATCCTTTTGGTGATAACTTTTTAGGGGGCCATAGTGTTTGCACCATTTTATTAGTATTTTATTAGTGAGAGGTATATTTTACACTGTTTTAACAAACTTTCCGCACAAGGATTTAGTCCAGAAAACAGCTGTTTGCCGCCAGCTTAATCAAATGGGGTTTCATTACGTATTACTAATGTAATTCATAATTTGTGTATTATTCATAATTTAAGTTTGTTAAGTTATTTTAAACCTGTTAAATGTTAAACTAAGGGCAGCCTATATTTTGGAATTTTCATGTCAAATTTTATTAATTATAAGTATTGCATCTTATATCTTTTTACAATAATAATGACGATGTCAATTACAATAATGTATTGTTTAAAGACTGAATAAATGACTATTCAATGACTATTCAATATTCAATAATGTAATGAGTTTTTACCGGACACCAGCTAATAATTTTTGGCAATGAGCGGTTATAAACAAAACATAACCTCTCTTAGAGGTTATGAGTAGTGATTGTTAGTCCTTCAGCCGGTCAGAATATAGTAGGATTTGTATGGGTTTTTTATTGTTATTGTTGTTATTGTTTATTGTTGTGTTAGCTTAGATTAGTATGGCGTAAAATATTGTACGTCACTTGTCCAAAATGTGTTTACCGGACTCGTATGGTAATCCCGCACTCGACTTCATCTCGCACTTAGTATTCACTTAGTATTGCACACTTAGTAAATTCATCATTTATATCCGGCATATTTCCAGATAAATTAAAAATTTCTAAAGTAAAACCTCTTTATAAAAAAGGGGACCAATTAGATGTTTCAAACTATCGCCCAGTAGCCTTGTTACCTGTCATGTCTAAAATTTATGAAAAAGCTATGTATAATCAGCTCGTTAACTTTTTAGAAAGTAATGATCTACTCGATAAAGAGCAGCACGGTTTTAGATCAAACCATTCTGTAATATCAGCGGCTGCTACATATATTGAGTCAATAATTGATTCTGTAGATAGGGGAGATAAAGTAATTGGAATATTTATGGACCTAAGCAAAGCATTTGACAGTGTATCTCATCATAAATTGTTAAAAAAATTGGAAGGACTAGGGGTTGTAGGAATTTCACTAAAATGGTTTCAATCATATTTAACTAATAGGAAACAGTTCGTAGAAATTACACACTTAAACAATCATAACCAGATGGTTAAAACAAGATCGCAGTTGAGAACAATTAAACATGGTGTACCACAGGGTTCTATTTTGGGTCCTCTACTATTTCTTACATATATCAATGGATTACCCAATGTTATTTCGAATTCAACAATGAATACCATCTGTTTATATGCCGATGATTCTAATCTTCTTGTAAGCGGAAAATCTGTTCATGAGATAGAAAAATCTGCCATCGATAACTTGATGAACATCAATAACTTTTTTTCAGATCATCAGCTATTACTAAATCTTTCCAAAACTAATTTTACACGCTTTAATCTAAAAACTAATACCAATTCAGATTACCCAGCACTAAAATTAGCCGGTGAAGATATACAAATTGTTGAGAACACTAAATTTCTAGGATTATACATAGACAGTAAATTAAGCTGGAATGATCATATTGATCATGTGGCAAATCGAATGTCAACAGGCCTATTTGCACTTTATCGATTATCAAAATTTTGTAAACTTGAATCCCTAAAATTGGTTTATTTTGCTCATATTCACTCACATTTATCCTTTGGTATAAGTATTTATGGAGGAACATCACAAGCTAATTTAGACAGAATTTTGATTCTCCAGAAAAGAGCAATACGCATTATGTTAAATTTGGATTGGCAAGATTCTGTTAGGGAAAAATTTGAAGAACTAGGCATAATGACTGTATATAGCTATTATATCTATCAATGTATATTATATACTGTCAAAAATTCAAATAATGTCTCACTGGTAGGGGATTCTCATCAATATTGTACCAGAAACAGAAATAACTATGCAACACCTTCACATAGATTAAGATTTTTTGAAAAAAAAAAACCAATGTATATGGGTATAAAATGTTACAATGCTCTTCCAACAAAACTAAAGGACTACACAAGGACTACAAAATTTAAAAATAATCTAAAAATGTACTTTTTAACCAATCCCCTGTATTCAAAGAACGAATTTTTCCTCTTACATAATATATTAGAATAAGAACTTTTTCAATAGTGATTATATCTTTTGTACTTTTTTAGGATTAAGCATTATGATTTTGATCCAATGTAATGACGCCATTCGTGCACATGTTTGCAAAGTATGAATAAAGTTGATTTCATTTCATTTCATTTCGCACGGGGACGACCACACTCGTCCGGTAAACACCTATTTTCAAGACATGGTTTTACAAATCAGATTAAATATCATAATGAACCACCTGGTATTTTTTTAGATCCGAATTTGAATGTTAGAAGGTGTAACTCCTTGTAAGATGGATAATAATATAAATTTTATGGTATTCAGAAAAAATATAAATTCAAAATGTATTTTGTAACGGTTGACATTAAAAAAAGTAATCCCTCTATTTACATGCTCATTTTGAATTATCAATATGACACATTTTTAACTAATGATATTCAGGTTTTTAAACAAATTGGCCAGCTGATGTTATCGGGAAAACTGAAGATGCTGAGTTATTAGTGTTCTACTAAGAATCATTTGTGAGATGGTTAAATAGGTTGTTAAATTGAAACCATGCAAACATCTCCATTCTATTAGTCATCAAGTCAAATAAACTCCATAGACAAAATATATTGTATTGTTATTGTTGTCGTAACATGCATTTTGTTATTATTTTTTAGTTAATAAAAGTTAAGACCCATTCCTTAAATTTGGTTTGTACCTCACTTTTATAGTCCATTTAGGATAAATTGATGACTTATTCCATCAACATTTAAACACCGCTGGATCACCAACTTCTGCCTAAAACATATTTTTTACTTATTCTTTGACTATGATAATTATTCCAATGGAAATTTTATTTTCAACTGAAACTCCACGATACCTCACATTAGAAACAAAATCTAAACATAATGTTGTATTGAAATCAAAGCAAATAATTTGGGAGAAAAATATGGATGAAGAATTAGTAAAGGCAAACCACTGTTCAGGCCTACATGTATTAGAATCCTAAACTGTATAGTCCATTCACAATATTTATACGGTTTAAGGGGAAGTTTCCCACCATTTTTTTTTCAGCTTAGTGTGTGATGCAGCTGATTTACATTTTGTCAAATCTCAGCAGATGATGTTTTAATGGTAGGATCAAGACGTGGAGGGGATTTATTTATTCCCCTAAAACCACCTAAATTTTGTGAACGGAGTATAAGACTCTAAACACAAGTTTCCCTTTCTTTTCCCAGTTACATTATGTAAAAAATTTAAGGTACCTTACTTAAAACATTATTACACATTCATCAATGATACATGTATCAATACATGAAACATGCACATGAAAACATGAATACTTCTCAAACAAATTTAAATCATAACGCAATAATAATGTGTGACACTAACATAAATCTTTTTCCTTCAAATAAAAAATTTCTCATTAGGCTAATCTAATAATTTCATAATTGAATGAACGTTTGTTTTACTCACAATAATCTTCATGTCTATTTTTTTGTATGATTTGGAACACATAGTCGGTGGATTCTTCATTAGAGTCATTCGAAAGTCCTCTTCCTTTTCGTCTAAGCTTGGGAAAGACTTTGCCTGCAAAGAATAATTCACTTATTTTGATGTTCTTTATTGTCACATAAAAAACATGTTTGCTGGTATTAGTGCTTTCCTTGGCCAATGTTGTGGTCATGAGTGGAACATGACATAACATTGAGGTTATTGCTAAGTTTTAGCTGAGTTCGGCCATACATTTTGAGAGCGTCAATGACTGTTTGTGCTCATGATACACACAAGCTTTTTCCTACCACCATAATAAACTTATCATAACACACAGATTAACTTTGTTTGTTCCAGGATATTCTGAAGAGAAATTATCCCAAAATATTTACTTGAGTGATCTACCAAAGGGCTATATATACAGACATTTCTTAGTATTATAATATCTAATTTTTAGTAAAAAAGATAAGAATTTAGGTTTCATATTATTATTATATCATATTAGCAAGTATTGAGATGGGGACACCACTTGAGTGTATATTTTAACTCGAATATGAGTGAAGAATGACACAGAATGAAGTGGAGTTGCATTGAGTAGCTTTGTTACGGACTAAGACCAGCTGTTTCATTAGCCAAGATCAAATATTAAAACTTAAAAGTCCAATGATCAGTGACATTTATCACCCATGAAGTATACTTTGTTTGGCCATACTATATTATATAACCACAGTATTTATACAGGGTGGGGCAATGAAAGCACCCCAATTTATAGGTAGTACAAACTCAATAATATTCACCCTATGGATATAAATAGCACATCAAAACACAGCTTATCTTTTGCCATTTTAATAAAGTCATTTTTCCATTTCTTGAGAAAAAATCCTGCAAGTGACGTCCTTGTCCTACTTGACATTCCTTTTTAAGCACTTGAAAACTCCATAAATGAATTTACTCCTCCAGCATTTCTTCAGGAATCACTTAAGTTTTTGGACAATTCTTAGCTTCAGTTCAAGCAAATCTGTGGGGTGACTTTGAAAAACCTCGAACTTCAAGAAGCTTATTAGAACAACCCCCCCCCCTCCCAAAAAAGGAGCCAACTTAAAGCTTTCAACGACAAAAGCTTCCTGGCAAATCTCTTTGGGCTTTGAGTACTGCGACTCGCACTCTTTCAACATTTGCTGGTGTACAAAGAGTTTTGCGGAACCTATTGATTATTTTTAAGGTTTAAGCGTCCATCCCAAATAATTTTACCCAGTTCACCATTGTTTCCCAATCTGTAACAGCGCCAAGTTGACCAAGGATGGAATGTGGTCAAAACAATCTCTGAATAGAATGAACTACATCGTTTGAACCCATAGTCGCTTCTAATTTTGATTTATGAAAACAAAATCAACTCTTCAACCAATTTATTTTTGAGGCCCTGATAAATATTTGTGACTTTGAATGGCTTTGATTTAAAATCAGTGACATAGCTGACACAAAAACAACCTGTTTGGTTAAGACAATTTCTATGACAAGACTGAAAAGTAGACTAAATTGTTTTTGACTCGCTCACCTTTACCCCTCTGAGACCAGAGAGGGGGGTCAAGTTGACCATGGGGCAGAAGTCCATTTTCAAGGCAGGATAGGAAAGCTAGTAGGTGTCCCCCTCCAGGAAAATGTATCGGAGGCCTCTGCACTCCATCTTGCCCCACCAACACTATTGTGCCCCCGTTATCACCTGTAAAATTTAATTTCAAGTTAATTACATTTGTCAACAAACTTTGTTTGGTTTGCATATTTTAAATTTAATTATTTCAGTAGTGTTGTATGAATTGTGACAATCTGAGATTGATTCAAGAAAAATTTTAAATCCTGGATATTAACCCAGATCCTTGGTGTTGTAAATCTTAGATATAGGGAATGCTATCGACAACTGAGCAAGAGGCTCCACTAGGATGAACCAGCATGCAATATTTCACTCCCCGTGGCTGTCGTCAGGATACCAGTATTATAGTTTGACATATTTTGCTCATATAAAGGATGTTCTATGCGGATTCAACAATTTTGTACCAATTGTATGAATTATCATGATATAAGGGTGCTGTGGGAGACTTAAAAGTATTTTGCTTATACAACAAATGTTTTTTGCCATGCTAATAGTATGACTTGACTTGGCAAAAGGGTGCTGTGGGAGACTTAAAAGTATTTTGCTTATACAACAAATGTTTTTTGCCATGCTAATAGTATGACTTGACTTGGCAAAAGGGTGCTGTGGGAGACTTAAAAGTATTTTGCTTATACAACAAATGTTTTTTGCCACGCTAATAGAATGACTTGACTTGGCAAAAGGGTGCTGTGGGGAAGTAAAATGAAGCACAATCTGGAAACTAGTGATGTGTCAAAACAGAATCTTAAAACCATCAAAAGTTTGGAAAAGTTTCAGTTTGGAGATTTGATAGGCGAGTTTCGAGATTCATAAGTCTTGAAATTAAAAGATTTTGGCTATTTTATTTTTGAAACTGCTGTCATTTTTTGTGTCATTATAAGCAGGTAGAAATGAAGCAAACACATCTCCATTAACACTAATGAAACAAGTAAATTGTATTCTGAACTGCAAAAAGCATCTTAAATACTGGAACATTTTACAATTCAGTTTCATATAGATATTTATTAAACACAAAGAATTATTGACCACAAAATGTTCTAATTAGAGTGTAATATACATTTTTATGTTAATGTCAGGAGTTTTATTTATTTGAATGTTTGTTGTTTATAAAAATATGTTATTTTGGGTTTTAAGTATATCCGTCACATTTATGTAATTATGTCTGGATCAATCTCTTTAAGTTTTGATCGCATAATCATAACTAAAATGTGTGTGTGTCATTACCAGTATTTTTAGCAACCTTGATCAGGTAACTAAAAAGTTTCGAGTTTAGGTTTTGAGATTCGAGAGTTGGCATTTGATTTTTTAAGTTTCAGTTTTGGTTTAGAGATTCAAAATTTCTTGTTTTGACCATCACTACTGGAAACACAACTTTTTACCATTTTATCAGGCACTAGACCTACAGAATGACAAATCTCAACTTCTATGGTTCAATGAATTAAAGGTGGAAGAGTTTTGATCTTAAATTAATATGGCTACATTACAAACAGCTAAAGATACTATTGACTTATTGTTTTACTGATTTTTCAACATTCAATGAGCTCATAATTTCACAAAAACTACTTGTGAGCTAGCCTGTTGAGCACGATTGAACACAATTCACACGATTGGATTATGTTCAATGTGGTTTTATGAGTTCATTTGATATATTCAATAAACCACAGGTATTGGATAACAGAAGATAGCATTTGTTCATGTATAGATGGATAGAGGGATGAAATCAATTTAATAGAATGCACACAATTCAAGCTACAAATGGCAAGCATATACTCTAGATAATTCTTACTAACACTGATGGTGGTGTAAAATTGGGATCAAATCAAGGCCAATACCATATTTAGAATCATTCTTATGTGTATAAAACTTGCTTTTAAAATCATAAAACTAAAATATGCAATATATAGGTAAATAACATGTAGAGCTAACACAAAATTTAAAAAAGTTTAAGTTGCATAAAAACATTTCTATAGTAATCTGACTTTTAAAATTCATAGCACAAGAACGTTGTAAATAAGGTTATAAACAATCTCCCGTCCCAGCCATGGGAGCTAGTTCACATTTTTAATAATTGTAATACTTTTAATTAAAATGGCGACCACACGAAGGTAGGTATTTTAAGAAAAGTATGAATGGAGATGGGTGTAGGATGAGTGGCGCGATCTTGTAGTCTTGTTACTGACTAAGGCAGACAATAAAATGAAATGAAATGAAATGTTTATTTGTCCCATAGAATTTACAGGTTCCTTAACAGGACTGTTAGCCCATCAAGCCAAAGACAACTAAGGTGCCTACTACAGTTTATAGTGGAATCGGAACCACATTTTTTCTTGTAATTTACGAATTGGTCTAATTATCAGGATAGTACTGTGGAGGGTCGTAGTACTCACTAGTGTGTCCGTTAATCCACACTAGGGAGTATCACATCCACAGATCATGCCTATAAATATCCACAATTCATCCAAGTCTCATCTGTTACTAGCACTGTGTTTTTTATATCCCCCATAACTATTCTAGTTCGTCTCCACTTTAATATAGCAGTATTTTTGTCACAATATCTGATAAAGGTGGAAGGGAAAATTGATGCTCCTGCCAGGTACGAATTACACTCTAAAATGATATTTCCATGAGGAGGTCAATCCCTCTTCATTCATTGATAGTTAACGTATTTGTTTTAAAAAAGTCTATAGGCATAAAAAATGTAAACAAATGGTTAAGAGAGTTTGCGGAAGGCCATACAGATTTGCTTCACAAGGCCGGCTGTGGTGTTTATCAGTTTACATTGAGACTGAAACAAACATTGTGGAAATATCAGCGTTTCGATTACTGCAAGGGTTGTTCATTGTTCGTGGTAGTCACGTTCTCTACCAGTTTAACAAACTCTTGTCCAATCACACCACAACCTACATGCAAAGTTTCCCAACTTTTATCACTGCCTTGAAAACTGCGGCCAGCCTCATCATGTAAATGTTTACGGCACTCTCAAAACTCTCGCAATTCCTATCATGTATTATCTAAATTCCAGCACATTTCTCTATTTTCAATTGGTGATGGGTCTCTTTAGAACTCTTGACCTTTAAAACTACAACAATCTAATAAAAAAATACTATTTATATTTATCGGGGATCAATTTTTCCTTCCATCATGACCGTTACTTCAACAAGACTATGTTTTGTATAGAGGTGGAGACTGTTTACAATAGTGGTGAGGGAAATAATGAACTTGGTGCTGTTAGTGACCTTAATTTGAGAACAACTTGTATCTTGAAGTATAGAAACTTACCTTGTTGGTGACAGTGAACGTAAACAATTTCATTGACTCTAACGTTCAAAGCGCAATCCCAGTACATACTGAAAACAAATAAAAGTTGTAAAACAGTGTTATATACTAATGTAACCATTCAAATTTACCTGCACACTAGTTGCTTTATTACAATTTTTAGCCAAACAAGTTGAAAGTAAAAGGAAATATTTATTTAGGCCTAGACATAATGTAAGTATCATTATATTTAACATGTAATTAGGTTTTCTGCTACCAGGGACAGAAATAATGTGTTTTTATTTGAATCGTTTATTGCAGTAAACTTATAACCAACACTTTTTTTTGCAGTTGTATGATTTATGCGGGACAGAAATAATGTGTTTTAATTTAATTTTAAATATCTTCTCTAAAGTAAAGAAATTCACCTTATGAAGGTAGTATAAACTAATTAACTTCTTCCTAAGGATGACATGAAAGAAGTCAAACATACTGTACCTCACACTTTTAATATATTGTTGACCAATAGGTGTTGCAATAATTTTGTAGTAATAATAATGTTACTATGTATCAGGGTCTAAAAAACACAATCAGATTTTACTATAAGAACTTTGCACATGAAAGCTAATGCTTTCAAAACTGTTTCGAGTATGCTACTTTAAAATTATATGTAACAAATTCTTAATTTATGTTCCGTCTAGTAATTTCAACCAACTGAAAGAAATAACCTTCAAAGTAAACCTAAAATAAATCTGATAAACAAACCATTCTGCTTACAATCTTAAAACACCTTGTCAAAATAAAATTTACCCATATATACCATGGAAAACTTATTGACTTACACCATTTGTGTTTTTGTGCTAGACCGTCGAAACTGAAGAGCTTTGGGGGACCGTGGTGGGTTGTAATTTTGGACGGCAGGTAAGCTGAATCGTCTTTCTTCTCTATTAATAAATCAAATAACAGCTAAATGAAACACCATGCAAGAAGATGAACTAAAAAGTGTAAGGAGTTAATATCTAAATATAATTGCAGGGTTTAACAAACTACAAGTACAAAATCATTTAAATTTAATATAAACATATAAGACAAAAGACATAAACAAAACTGAAGAAAATGTTTGTCACAAATGAAAATGTAGTATTACTATTACAGTTCATAGATTGATACAACTTCTTGAAGTGATGCTAAGGATCTAAAGCTACAATAAACCCTCATTAATCCAGACCACATTAATACAGACTTTGCTCACATGCAGCCATTTAATAGTGGGTTACAAGAGTTAATACAGGTACGTTAGGAGTGTGTTTCTGTGAACTAACCAGTTTTGTTGTTAGGGATAAAGTTAAATACATCATCACAGGCTATTTGCTCAAAATCCTCATTGCAATGTGATAACATTTTCTTTACCCCGGTTGTGAGCCTTATTCCCATCACAAAAAGTTTTCAACACCTCAATTTATTGGTTTAAAACAGTAGTTGGAAACGGTCTTTGATATCGGAATAACCTTCTTAAGGCCAGCAAAATAGTGTTTGCACTATTTCTGATAGCTGTTAGCCAATGTAGGGTGTATTTCATCTGCAAACCGCACTAAACAAATGTTCCTGGTGGTTAATAATTAGAAGCATTAATGTTCACTTTAAGCTAGTTCCTCTCCAACACTTCTAGTTTCACTCCAGTAATAATCTAGCACTAAAATGCCGGTCTCGGAATAGAAATCCCTTATAAAATATTAAAATTATTTCATTTAATCTTAATTTTTATTAGTTTATATAAAACCACAATTAGCCTGGGTAAATGAGGGTTTACAGTAAAACACTACCAGATAAGCATGAACTTGAGGACAGGAACAAACGATTATTTACAAAATATTTACTTTCACACTAAACAAAACTAAAAACTAAATGTATAAAATACAAAATAAAATTTCAAAAATATAAGGAAATATATAGCAGTTACCTTTTATTGTCCTGTTTTTCGGCATCTGGGTACCCATTCATTAGTTGGTTAGGTGTCCATTTAATGGTTAGAGAATGAGCTGTCTGGTGAAGAGAAAGATATCCTGGCATTGGTTCTGTAAGATCTTTCTGTAACACATATGAAATACCATGAAACTCATATTTAATTTTCCTTCCAAAAATGATACATGCAGGGCCAGATTTAGCATTTTTGCGCCCCTAGGCCCAATACTATTTCCGCCCCATAGTCTGGTTAAAGTTACTTTACGGCAAACCTTACTAAAAACTATATTAGGCCTACTGAATACAATTTTATCATTGCAAGTTTTTTTTAATGTATTTGGTTTTGGCCTAACAAAATGTCGTCTTTTACTCTTTTAGACATCGTATATTAAATAGGCTCAAATAATGGTGAAATATGACAAAAATATATTTCATCACACGGACAAAAAGCCTCATTTTCACTTTACACCCTAGTGATGAAATATACTGTTTTTTAAATTAACTTAAGTACCTATCTCAGATAAACTATAACTGTATATTTAGGAACAAAAGCATACAAACGTTTCTTTCTTTCGAGAAGCACAGTAGTTTTGAATCTCTACAGGGCAGTTATGTGCATAAGTCAGCTGCTTCCCTTCAATGTTTTTCAAGATTAAAACTTACAATCTTTTATTGTGTTTTGTCAATTATAAATATTGAGGAGTAAGGAGCAAGAGAAATGATCATCTTCCAACGAATGTGGTTAATTTCGGCATCTTCCTTACTAGAATTGCCTCTCGTGTCTCGTGGTTATGCTTTTCCAAGAAATGGTATTTTATACTTGTCAATTAAGTTATGCTTTATTTATATCTTATCTAACAGGGGCAGGCCGAGACCATAAAGCACTTCATCCGAAAAGTAGAATCATTGCCCATACCAGACAATTGTTTCATTGACAATTGTTTCATTCATAGTCACTACAAATTCAGTCATCCGATAAAAGCCTGTCTTCCAATTAGTTCCTCCGCAGGAAGGTATTTACCTCTTACCAAATTGCCATAAGCTATGCTAAAAATCCATCTCTCACACTATTTTATACAAATGAAATCAAATCCAATTACATGAATACAAGCATTATTGGCACTCCATCTCTACACTCTCCACAGTTTTTCCTCTACCGTTATCTCAACAGACAGCGTCTTGAAGATACAACTGCCTGGTTTCTGGCAAACCGTTTCCAACTAAATGAGGACGCAGCACATCATCTGCAGCCTCTCCAGAGATCAGCCTGGTGTTCAAGATCCAGTCAAATTGCTTGGATTTGTTCTTGATGGGCAGTTCAGCTGGACACATCACATTGACCAGACTCTCACGGATCTGTTTCCTCCTCTTCAAGCCAAAATTCTGTGTAACGGAGGCATATTTGGTGATGGTGTACCATGCCCTCTTTCACTGCCATGTCAGCTATGGCCTTCTTCTCCGGGGACATTCGCCAAAGGTTGTTGAAGTGCTTAGGCTCCAGAAGCGTGCATTAAGGATTATTATAAGATTATGGGAGTGAGTATCGTGCTAATTGCAAACCCCTCTTTGCACGACTTGGTGTGCTTACTGTAGTTGGCCACTACATACTTCTCTGACTGGTGCACGTTAAGGCCAATATAACAACCTTCACCACTCGTGATGACGTCCACCAGTATAACACCAGGCAGCGCCATCAGCTTGATGTGCCCAGGGTGTGACTATCTAGGACCCAGGCTAGTTACAGTGTGTCGGCCATAAATCTGTTCAATAAGCTGCCACGACATATCCAGTTGTTGGACTTAAAAACATTTGAGGCAGTGTTAACCTCTTTCATCAAAAGCCGGGCCTATTACAATATCTCAGAGTATTTAAGGGATGATTTAAGAAACCTGTAGCCAACCAGAAGTATGTAAATAGTTGTGTAAATATTGTTTTTTTGATTAGTAACCGTGTTAAGTGACGCTGTCAATCCCACATTGTGAGTAAAAGACGAAGAAGGAGGTATATGGTATAAGGTATAAGGTATAACTGTAAATAGCTGGGTACAAATAAAATACTTACAGGTATTACTAGAACGTTGTTTTTCCCATATAGCAGAGTAGCTTTGCTATTCTGATGTAAAGACTCTACATAATCCTTGGCACAAGTTGGGGTTTGCCTTCCCTCTTCTGAACTTACTGCTTGTAAACTTCTTCGATACTGGAAAAACAATAAAGAATTACGGCATCATAACAGATGTTTTTAAATTGGTTTAACATGAGTGGAATGTAAATTTATTGAGCAGAGCTCATTGAGATCATACTTTATGCAAACTTTGTAACTTCATCGCAATAACGGCTGAACAAAACAGGTATACAATAGGCATCATCCATATCATATTGTCTAAGAAAAATCAATGTTAAATATTAAATATAACGCTATTTCATGATTTGAAAAATCAATTTTTGGTCAAATAAAATGCCTTATCCTTAAGCAACTTAAACACAGCAATAGAACATTTCTTAAAAAGTAAAGTTTTACATTAATAGGCATTTGTTTATAGTAAAATCTGAAGGTGAAAGTATGCAGATTTGTTTGATCAAAACACAGATTGTAAAAGATGAACAAACATGGGAGAATCAGTATGACAAGATTAGGGTAAATATCTCAATACGATGCCTAGTAAGTATCCGAACGAAACATTTCAATAATAGCTCTTTTCCAAACAAAAGGGGTTTTGGCCACAGCCGATTTGTCTCACAATCTAACACACCATAAATGGATATGCGTGTAACGGTCCATAATATGTCATAATAGTTAAATCTGAACTTACACGTCACCTTAATTTTCTCAACAAACAAGTAACACAGAATTATTTTTTATATAGAGTATCTGTATATCTGCCACTAGTTGATTAGGTATCAAGTGAAATTCAACCCATCACGTTTAAACACTACCTTATTCAAACCAATGATACTTAAAACTTCTAAATACAATAGAACCCCAGTTAATGGAAATAAAGGGGGGAGAGACGTTTCGGATAACAAATTTTTCGGTTAACCCATCATATGCTAAAAATAGCCCATGTATCACCACAGTGTGAAGGGAAAATTAATTTAAGAGAATGTATATATAATTCAGTGTTATATTTCAGCTACAAAAATGCTACAATGGAATAGAAAATACTTTAAACCAGACAACTGAAGTTATTAAAGCATTTTACAGCCCTATATTATTTTATAGAACCATTTCGGTTGATCCGGGTGTCGGTTAACCCGAATTCAGTTAACAGTGGTTCTACTGTAATAGAAACAAACAAAACTATTTCAGTTACTACTGTGATGTAGTGGATATCAGCAGCATCAAGCATTAATAACCAGCAGGGCCATCGCGTGGGTGGGGCGACCAGGGCGACCGCCCTGGGCGCCACGGTCAGGGGGGCGCCGCGGCAAAAGTAATGCAACAAAATTTAAAAAAGTTAGATGCACATAACGTATTTTGGAAAATAACCACGAATACTAGTTCTATTATTTGTAGTGTAACTGAATGTTGAATATTTCGTTGTATGCCTTTATTGAACAAATAAATATTATTTGATACCAATCACTTTATAATTTGCAATGTTTTTCAAATTAAATATCAATATAGTATATTGAATTAAATTTCTAAACAATCAACTCCACTGTTGAGTTGAACGCTCTGTCCCAACTTAATTATCTTTATATTGCAATGTCTTAATTATCTTAATATTGCAATGTGGCGGTTCGCGGTGTTGCTCTGTACACGTAGCTGCCGTCAATGAATACACAAACTATAGTTTGTGTATTCATTGCTGCCGTATTCTGTTTTTATTTCACCCGACCGGCCGACGGTTGACCTTGGGAACCACCCCTACCCCAATCACTCCTTTCTCCTACGGCAGTATCAGCTGAGCTGCCAGCTTAGTTTGACGAGTTATCTATATATTTAATATGCTAGGCATATTTTTGTCATAATTATTGTTTTGAAGCTGCTATGCATCGGTTTACCAAGTTTGAGGTGTCGTTGGATAGGGTGTGGCACGTAGATTTGCCATATATCAAAAAATCTTTGAAATTCACTGCAAAACCGATTATTAGGGTTCAGTGAATTTTAAAGTGAACTGACAGTACAGCAGTTACACGGGTTTGGCTTATTATTTAGGCCAGGCGCACACAGGCGATTTTGAGTCGCGCAACAGTTGCCCGACTAAAATGTTCAACATTGTTTTAAATTGGAGTGCGCACACGAAGGAAACAGTCTGGGGACAGTCGCGCAACTGTTGCAACCGATGTTCCCGGACCCAATTTGCCAGCGACTGCTCTGCGACTCAATTGTTGCGGGACTGTTGCTCCAGGTTTGGTATCCATTGAAACAAGTGTAGATGCGCACACATGCAACTAAATAGTCGCTGTGTCGCTCAGTCTCACCCCAGGAGTTCAACTACTCGTGGCCAGAACTGTCACTAGTGTTTGCTCTCTTGTTGTGTGAAGTTTTTAGAAAATTACAAGTATGAGTGTGCGTGATGAGGATGTCGAACAATTAAACTGATGAAGTTGAGAAGAGGCCGACTATATTTAAAGTCATTGAAACTGTCCTTTCACAAGTCGCTCACTATATATGGGATGAACCCAGTATCTTCTATTTTTCTTTCGCGCGCGAAACTTCAGCAACAAAGCACATACTACGGCTGTATCATTGAAATCCATTCGAAACGCTGTAACGAATGTATTTCCAACACGTCTCAAGACTAGATCCGCGACTAAAAAGTTGCCTGTGTGCGCACTCCAGCTCAACTGTCGCTAGACTTCAGAGTCTCAGAGAGAGTTGCGCAACAGTCCCCCGATTAGTCGGGCAACTGTTGCGCAACTCAAAATCGCCTGTGTGCGCCTGGCCTTAGGTTATCATCAATTAATCAAAAAAGAATTTTTACTGACTTTCACAAAAGAAACTGCAAAAACGGCAGGTAAACTGCGAACTCAATTAGGCCTTTTACCATCACCAGCTTTAGCAACACAACCAAGAAACGAGATAACGCCAAATAAAAAAAAAAAATCAATACAAATCCTTCTTCTCCTTTGTCTAAATTGCGCACGATTTCGTGTGCCAGGTTCTCTAGTTTACATAATGTTTAGGATCTCATATCTATGTGATAACGTGGTTTTCTTTTATTCTGTATAAAAATTCTATTCAGAGTAGGTTTGGTTTGAGGTTTTGCATAGGCCTACATTGCATTAATTTCAATTTGCTCTGTATTAATTAATAACATATACAGTATAGTACTTTTTATACATTTTATCATTTTCTTACATTAATAGGGATTTGGTTAGCATCAATTAAAAAAGATTTGCATACAAAATTTAAGTAATTTATCCCTAATAATCAATCCCTGATTCCCGACTCTAGTATTTTTGTAAGGTAATTCATCCCCTTTAGGTGTCTGTTTTTGGGGATTAAAACAAAGATAGCGACATCATCACTCAATGTGTGTTTGGAGGGGGGGGGGGGGCGCCTGGCAACATCCCGCCCCGGGCGCCAAAAAGCCACGCGACGGCCCTGATAACCAGACACTCATTTAGAAACACCCTGTATATCTGACTCCATTTCTTTGAACAGTATTAACAGACTTACATTGAGTACAGGTCGGGGACATGTAAAGGGTGACAGAACCCCGCTGGAGATCCGGTGTCTCTGGACCAGCTCATCAGCTGGAGGGTCTGTCCAGAAGTGATCCTGAGTCTTCGTTTTGGAGTAGTCTAGCGCACACGGGCCCACTGCAAAATCAAATTTAATTAGATTCTAGTTTGTAGAGGTATCTGGCCAAAATGTTTCATGAAAGTTTCCACTTCTTCTATGAGAAAAAATAGAGTTAAGTTAAATAATGTTCATTCTTACCTAAAAGAGAGCTAAGTATTGACCCATATTCTGCATCAGCTACCAATGAATCTTTCTCGTAGTATTTACTGAAAACATAACACATATTATAACTTAGCACAGTTCAATATGAAGATTAACATTAGAATTCAGGGTGTCCGGGCTAGAAGTATCAAATCAAGAAATAACTACCGGTAGCTTGTATGATATTAAAATGTAATTGTACAGTATATTAAAATAACTATGGCAACATGTCATAAATACAACCAAGATTGTGTGCACAACATAAACGGTCCAATTTCAAACACAATGCCTCAAAACAAGTTAAGGAAAATGCAGTCTTTCCATGTGACCAAGCTGAATCGTTTCTGGCCATAAGAACAACTTGGCCACTAATGTGAATGTCAGTCTAATGATAATGTTTACTGAGAAATCAGCTGTTACAAAATTTTGCAGCACTACAATTGCCAGAACAAATCATTTTCCAGCACACTACCACAATGATGTTCAGGATTTTCTTAATGAGCAATTCCCTAGTTGTTGGATTGGTAGGAGAGGGCCTATTGCATGGCTGGCAAGATCGCCAGTTATTACCCGCTGGATTTCTTTACATGGGGGTTTATCAAAGATATTGTGTACCAGGTAAGAGTGCAAAGTGTACGGGAACTAAGGTCCAGGATTCTGGCTGCAGTTGAGACTGTTGAGAGAATATCGACAGAAATGCTGAACATGTGGCAGGAGATTGATTACCGATTGGACCTCTTGAGAGCGACTTGTGGTGATCACATTGAACTTTACTGAATAAGATACCAATCTTGGTTGTATTTATGACATGTTAGAATAGTTGTTTTAAAATAAAAATTAAATTTTAATATCATGCGTGATAGTTATTTCTTGATACCTCTAGCCCGGACACCATGTATTTCCTGTAGACCTGGATAAAAAAAATAATATGGGTTTTACAGTACCAGTCAGTATTTCTAAATGGTGTGGAGTCAAGGTGTTAAATTGTTTGGCTGAATTCCATTGTAAACATTCAGTCCAAGAAATGCATGAAATCCACTTAGCTTTGATGCCGGTTTAAATACAACTAAGTCTGTACCTACTCGTGTAGGCCTTCGGGCACCGTGGTATTTCTGTGACAGGCCTATTGTATTCAAAGTATATATCTTAATGTTGTATATGTCAGGTTTTGTGTGTGTGCGTATTTAAACCATCAACTAAGCTAATCAAGCAGATTTAAAGTATTTCCAGGACAATGGCATCCTGCTGAAACATGTTTAACACAATGGTTACCAATTTCAACTACATCACAGGTACTGTAAAAACCCATATTTGTCAATATTGCAGTGGCTATTACAATTAATTTTAATAAAACTACAAAGTTAAAAATAACAGTCAAAACATAAATTTGATCAACTTACTTAAAATGAGGGAGTAGAATATACATATTTTGAAAGCTCGACACAGTTAAATGTTTAGGTATTAATGTAGGTCAGTGGTTGCAGACGAGATCGCTTACAACCCTTGGAGGGATGGGTGAGGGGGTGAATGGGGTGGTGAAAGGGTGGCAAACAGCTGATAAGTGCTTGACCTACTGACAAGCAAACCTACCTAATTCCTTTTGCAGACTTAAAGGATTAATGGAGAGATATTGTTAAGTGAAAATGTATGTTTATTTCTTAAATAACCGCCGTGAATTTGTAACTTTTTTGTTATATTAGTAACTAACTGTACTAACTATTGTAATATTTTACTTGTGCATGTATCAAAGCCATTCAAACAGTTTACATAGAAGTTTTTAGTGGAATTATCTTGCTCTGGAAATATAACACATTTAAATTTCAACTATAACAAGATGCTCATTTTTTTAATGCCTTAGTAACTAATTGTAAGATATTGTACAAAATTTGCACAAATTTGCACAAATTTGCACAAAATAAACAAAACAGAGATCTTGCTCTAGAAATATTTCACATTTTGATATCAATAATGATTTAATAACTTGTTATTTGCTTAATAATTTAGAATTCACATTTAAAAATTAACATCTCAAATATCTTTTTCAATAAACCTGGTTGTATTAGAAGTTTTTAATTGTGAACTATAATTTTATTTGTCAATCATAATACAGTAATGCTGTTTGTCATATTATGCTCTAATTTAATCTCTACCACACTTTTTGCCCTTGGGTATTTTTATGGCACTTTATTATATAGTTTTAAAGTTAGTTTGCAAATCAGCATGATCAGATTCTGAGAACGGGGTTTTATGAGGAGTTTTATAGGTATTGGTATTTTTATATGGGGGATGATATATGTATTTCCTATTTTTGACCTCCGATAAAACTAGGCTAACTATTTGGTAGGGTGTTTTTGTATGCTATGTAGAAAAAAACTGTACACTTAAAATGTCTATTTAACCCTCCGAGTGTCCATAGTTTAGGCCTTAATGTCCACCTATTTTTGGCGCATTTGCAAGGTTTTATTAAAACGGATCTGAGAAGCTTAAAACAATGTTAATTCTACTGTTCTATATACCATTTTGTTTAGAAAATCATGGGCTTCAATATCATAAATAAAACATAAGGAATATTTGTTTTTAAAAAAATTTTTAGGTAAAAAAAATTATTTTGGAAAAATGGAAAAAAAATAATAAGTACGCGCTCAATGAAATTGTATAAATTACAGGCCTATAAATATTTGAAAATAGCCACTAAGTTCTAAAATGTATGAGGATTACAAATATATAATAATATAAGGAAGTAGATTTGCAAATAAATAAGTTATGGGCAAAAAACAGATTTCAGTACATAGCGTTTAGCTAAGAATGCATAGCCTAACCATAGCTAGGAATCTGGCTGATAATTAACATCAATGTCACTACCAACTTCATCCGGATCGTCAATAAGTCCTTCAACATCACTAATATCATCTTCTAGTGCATTACGTATATCACTACTGTCCATTTTTACCACTCAAAATGACGATAAACGTACAAAAACACACAAGTCACCGATGTGAAATAACCAAGTTGTCTAAAACACGAACGTCAGCTGTCTGGTACAATTACGATCGGCTCGGAGAACATAAAGCGCTTAGAGACAGACCTCTGGAGAAAGCTTAGAATCTAACGAAAAGAACGATACCTAACTCGATCCAGTTCAATCCGATTCAGTCAGTCGTAGAGCCTTCGCCGTAAACGATGTTCGTGTGTCGAAAAATCGACGCGTGACACTACACAAAGTGTGTCGTGAGTCGATTTTTCGACGAGTGACGCTCGGAGGGTTAATTCTTATGGAGGATAAGTAAACTGATGTAGTTTGATTGTTTATGGATATATTTTAGCTAACATACTAAGCTATATTCATACTACTTTTAACTAAAACAATATATATCCTTCCCTGTAGCAGCCAACCTAAGTACTTGTAAAATCCAATGTTATTTAAACATGGAATAAATCTGACATGTATAAGGATATATTTTATTAAAATTTCAATTAGGCAAATGGAAATTAGATTAGTCTGCGGGTTTGCTGCACGGGAGTGTTTTATTTTGTGCCAGTAGTATTCTGTAATGCTGCTAATAGTATACTAATGGTGAAAGCTGGAAGATAAAGGTTAACACTATCAGTTATGATAGTTGAATGAGGCTATGTGATAACAGAAGTTCAGAAAAAGGCTTGAATAATCACTAAATCGCTTTACATAAACATTGACATACTTTGTATATATATTTTAAGCATATTAAGCATTTTAAGTATTTCTATTTTATATTTTGAATATAGATGCAATATGAGTTAAGAATACAGTATATATCTGTGTAATTTTATTATTGACTATGATCAGCTGTTAATTTAATTCATGTATTAAAACCTAAAAATCAAGGACACCTGGGTCCAGTTTAAATATATATCGGATAGCTGCTTGTTGCGGCGAACACTCAATCTAAAGAGCAATACACAAAAATGGCCAATTCTTTAAAAACTACCCTCTTATACCACATCATTTAAAGTGTCTGTTTTTGTTTATTTTTTATCAAGATTGATAGCCTACATTCTAGGTTAAACTGGTTTGTTGTAAAATAGTTAACTTCTTTTAAGTGTTTTAAGTTTGGGTCTTGTACTTCCTATTTCTTTATTCAAGCTTTACTACAGCTATGTTAATTCTATTTGTGCTACAATCCTTTACTTTTTGGACCCCACATAAAATGGGGTTTGTTCTTAATTTGTGTGTGTGTTTTAATTTTATTTCTTCCAATAATATAGATCTTACATTTTTAAAGTTGGACACCTACTGATTGTCCATCACGTTTCCTTACCATCATGTTATCTATGGAAGGTATAGTGTAACCCAACGATCGAAACAAGTATTTCAGACAAAAAGTCGTTGATCATGTTTTGGACTTTGAAAGACTGAGACCATGGACTCACTGGGTTACAAGCAGACATGGGTTCAACCTGTGAATTGATTGCAGTGCCTGAATAGTTCAGCTATTGATTCAAAGTGTTTTAGGATGGTGAGGTATTTAGTATATTTGGTGAAGATGAAGCACCAGTATACCATCTAAAGTTTACGGGTAGTATCAGCAGTGGCCACTTTGATGTACATGAGCCTGTCAACAAAGCTTAAGTGCACACAGCCTCTACAGATGTTGAAAGTATCAGCAGATTATGAAACGGATGGATAAGAGAATTTGCTAAATAATTATATTCATGATTTTGCCACAATCAATAGTGAAGTTTCTAAACAAGATCCAACTATGACTAAGGCAAAACGGGTAAAACAAAAAGGGTGATCCTTAAGGAGCTACAAAAAATCAACTATAAGATGCTGCTGACAACACACAGAGTAAAAATCCTAAAGTTTACAGAGGTTCTGTTTTTAAATACATCCAGAATAACCCCGACGGGCTTACAGCTGGCAATGTCAGATAAAGACTGAATAAACCAGAGGTAAATACCTTAAAATGAAAAGGTGAATCAACATGATTAATGTAAGCGTGAAAGTGCCTTAACTGCCTTAAAACACGGTCCAAATCCTTAAATAGCCTCATTGTTGGTGTTCACCCTGAGAGTGAAATTTTGTTTAAACAAATCATGGAAACATAACAGTGCTTGACAGATGACTTTGTTTGGGACAATTGTTGAAGGCGGCATCTTGCCTAATTTCTAAGTGCTTGGATAAGTAATTGGTCATTTATTTCCATCAGCCAAACAGAAACTTAAAGTTTACAGCTATATTTCACAGGTAATATATTTATTTTAAAATTTTTAACAAGTTTAACTGAGTGATGAGCGGGCAAAACAGCCAGTGTACATGTATCTGTCAATTTATTTAAGTAAAGTTAATGTTATCATTTATTTTTCAATCTTCCATACGCAAGTGTAGTGAGCAATAAAGACTCTCCCCAAGTGTATACGGACAGTCATTGTGGGGACAATATCCATGTAAATTGTGTTGTTAACTTAAGATACAGTGCCTTTTTCTATAAATGATCTTATATAACTTGTACCCTAATTTACTCCCAGCCCTATTTTGATACCTGCTATTTTGGACCAAGTAGTCAATAATTTTGGCAAGAACTTTTTCAAACAGCGCCAGACGTATCCAGAGATACTTGGGCGTCTGAGGAGCAGCAGTCAGTCCACTTCCGGACGAGTTCTTCTTCTGCAGTGGAGGTTTGGTAAAGCTGGCACTACTGGTTAGTATACAAGCCGTAGGAATCCTGTTCATACTGTCACCACTAGATGATGACCTCCTGAAAAAGGAAAGTAAACAAAATACACATTAATATCAATAACGGCTCAAGAAGTAAAAATAAATACAATGAATAATGCTTCCAGATATTATAGGGGTTTAGGTCTTGAATAATAAACTGAAGTGCGGCCTACTCCAAAGGCTCTATTTCTGCTGCCTCAGTGTACAGTAATCTGGCATGGCCAAAGTCTGAACGAGTCGGATTAGGAAAGACAAACTGTTCTGTTTTTTTTTTCAATTTTTTAGTTTGGATAGTGTTAGGTTTTAGAAAAATCTTAGTTCATTGGTGTCAATAGGGTTAATTATCTAGAAAGAAAAACTAACTGAGGATAAACTATTTGGAAGTAAAAAGATCCACACAATTTTTAGTTCACGGTTATTTAAATGTATTGAAGTACAGGGCTATTCAAAAATATGGACCCAATTTCATGACTTTGTATCTCAAAAAGTATAAATGGGATAGACAACAAAATTTACGCCATTAAAAAGAAGAAATTTCAAAGTTTTTTTTTACCATAGTTCCGTAAACGACCGAAAAGGTTATAGCAACAATGTGCGGGCATTTTGTTTTACCCTGATTGCCTACCATGCAACATAAGATTGTGACAGAGTTTGCAAAAACTGAGTCTCCTATTAGAGTTCAGCGGGATTTTTGCATCGATTTTGGTAATCAACCACAAACTAGAAAAAGTATAACTCAATGGTTTAGGCAATTTCAAGAAATTGGTGACACAAGAGATGCTGCCTCGTGTGTGGGACAAATTCAGCTATTGCTTAAGCCGGGTTTTCCTAGGCGCGGAAGTGGAGAGCGGACTCCACTTGTCTTAGGTAATTTAATGTTACTGTTTTCCTAGAAGCGGAGCGGAACACCATGTTAATCTCTTTTCCGCTCTCCGTGTTCCTCTCTCCGCTCTCCGCTCCCGCACCTAGGAAAACCCAGCTTTATATGTTAGCCATGCAGCACAGGGGGGACACATTGAGCATTTGTAATCAGTGTAAAGAAAACTTTGAAATTTTCTCTTTCTTACGGTGTAAAACTTATTTCTTTCCAATTCATACTTTTTGAGATACAAAGTCCCGAAACTGGGTCCATATTTTTTAATATATAATTTTTTTATAGCCCTATATATTTTCCAAGGGGAAACAAATTTCATATCAGATTAACATCACAATTGTAAACCTAATTACTAATTAAACAAGTTACTGTAAGGTTTCAATACCATACTGTGATTTTATGTAACTGCTCCATAGTTCCATAGGCCTACCTGTGTACCGTGGTTGCTAACAATCGGTCATTTTTTGGTCTCTGACCTTGTATGTATAGAGCTTCAATCAATAAAAAATACTAGTGTTAATTCTTTTTAGTTAAAGTTCAGTTACCTGTTGGGGTCAGCATTTTCAATATCTCGGACTTTCTTTGAAATTAGATCAGCAGGTTCAAAACTTTTTGCAATCTTGTGCAGAAGAGCGGTGGTAGAGCTGGTTTTAAACAAACCAAGAGCTCGACGCCTAAGGCCTTGTGAGAGGCAGGCTTCTACAGCTCCTAAAAAGGATTTGTTTATTTATATGAAAACAAATCTCATTGAATGAATTTAAATGGTGCTTAGACAATAAAGCAATTTAAATTAACATTTGAAGATATTATTTTGAGGTAGAGTCTTACTTGGACAAACAGAGTACAGAGAAATTAATGTGTAATTACATACAACTCTATGACTATCGTTAGAGTCACAAAATTTATTTCCCATGGTTGTGTTATTTCTCCCCACAAAATGGCTGATTTCATCCTACTTTAAGATTATACTTGTGGACCAGAAAGTAGTTTTGTTTTTAAAGGCGGCCTATTCTAACCTTGCATTTGCCTATCCACATAGGCCTTGGGCCTGTGTGCGGAATGCATCGAGCAAAGCAAGGGGTGGCCGGTACAGTACAAGTAAACTGTACTGATAAAAAGAAAATCTGATGGGGTGTGCTGAAATCACCTGGAGTTTGGTAAAAACAGCTGGAGTGTGCTAAATTTTCAGATTAGCCTATGCTCGCGGGGCACTTTTCAAAAAGGCATATGTACTGCAATATGACTAGTATAAGTAAAGTAGGCTATAAACAAAGCTACACAATAAATTCTAGACAGGTTTGGTTAGGCACATTGCACTCTCACAATATTTATTGCAAAGATTATTAAAAAATTTAAAAATTATTTAAATTAAAAATAGGTATTGTGTTTTACCCCTGTATATTTTTTGCTGGTGAATTGGTCAAAACATATAATGCAGGGAGGATTAAACAGTATTTGCAACTATCAAGCTCGTATTGTAAACAGCTACTTCGTCCTGTGGTGTAATATACTATTTAAAACTATGGTATTGGTATTGCTGGATTGTCAATTATGTGCAATTATCATTTAGGATTAATCTGAAGCCGTTCACAGGTTGAATGGTTGTCAATCTCAAAGAATTTATGTTTTAACATTTTATCTAGCAGCTGAGTCTATACTTAAACTAAAGGTAGAGTGGTTTTTGGATTGATTCAATTTTAACACCTTTCAATTTCTAATAGTTTTCTTGAGACAGCCTAAACTAAACTTAACCCTTCCAGGGCTATGGACGGATATATCAGTCAATCTTTGTTTACTTTTCGGGCTGAAAACGGATATATCCGTCCCAAAAATTTCTTTTCTGGGATAAAGAAATACAATACAGATATACAATGTTTATAATACGGTAATAAACATTACACTGCATTATAATTGGGTTATTTTGTTTTTGTGGTTGGCAATAATAATTGCCGCAGCTGTTTCGGCTATTTTTTACCATAGAGTGTGCGTAAGTAAATATTGCTGTCACTTCACACATGGTTGTTAGTGAGTGATGTTTACATTTTGTATTTTGTACTTTATTTTTATGTTATTGAGCTAAAGTTACTAAACTTAATGTAAACTATATGAAATTTGAAAATGTTATTGATATGCTTAATAAAAGTATGTCTGAGGGGGGTTTTATACTTGGCAGTGAAAATAATAGTATGGAATGTGATGGATATGATAAACCTGAAGAACAGTCTTTACGTAGTGGAAGTCTTGGCGGGGAATGGGATTGAGGGCATGGGAGCGTAACTGAGTGGTTTATATTTATTTCAGAATGATAGATACATTTTTATGGATAAAAAATAAAACAAGGGAAGGAATAGCCTAAGGTTGACGGATATATCCGTCTGCCGCCCACAAGAATACTCAAGATTATTGACAGTGTTCATATTTTGTGATTATCACTGAGGGCGGCAGACGGATATATCCATCCACCTTATGTTTTTTGTGGGCCAAAGACGGATATATCCGTCAAATCAAACTTTATTTTCTTCATAACTTTTGTATAGAAATTATTTCAGCCCAAAGGAAAATCTTTTTATGATTTATGAATTATTTCAAGTGAAAAAAATACAAAACACAACCACTTTAGTTTTTAATTTTTGTCAAAAAATAATTAAGCTCCAGCCCTTCATTTAATTTAGCCCTGGAAGGGTTAAATGAGTTGATGGGTTGAGACAGCAGTAGGCCTACTGAGTTTTGGAGGATTTTTGTAAGGTTACAGCAACATCATCGTTGATGCTACTCCTTAGTCTTAGACCATTGATCGATGTATTGTGTTACTGATCTCAAAACTACTGTAATAAATCTGTACACCTATTGCACTTTGATTGCATTTAGTAGCTAACTAGATTGAGATAAGAATGTAAGTCAAATGTTAACATTTATCAAACATTACTACCTGATACAACTACTTACCACACAATGATGTGACTTTGCTACTGTCTTCGTGAACAAATTTCCGCGTAACGGCCTCTTCCATAATCTGTTTAACCTAAAAATAATGATTGGTTAAATGCTATATTCCTCGTACAGTGTAAGTGGATCATAGTAGGCTACATACCTGAATATTGTTAGCGGAGCTTTTTTATTACATAACTATTAGCATGTTGGATGTATCCATAAATTTTATATCAGAGGGTAAGAAGCTAAACCTACAACGCAGCTTCTCAAATGGTTTATTAGATTTAATTAAATAGGTATAGATTGTTAACTTTGGTTACCTGTAGTTAAACTGTGTGTACAAAGACAAGAATTTTATGATGGTTGCTTTTTGATTAGTGTCTTAATAGAAAAAAATAAGAATTTTGTCACTTTTTTAGCTTTTTAATGACCATTGAAAACAACTTGCTTTAGGGAAAATTTTTAAGAGAAATATTTTAACCTAACATCACATTATAGGTGGGATCATTATTTATTTTATTTTGTTAGGTGTAATTAGGAATTATTCATAAAATCTACTCCCAAAGTTATCAACTAAAGTGTAGATTTTAAAACTTAAATGCAGCGGTTAAATAAAAACAAGCGGTAAATTTGTAAGCGTGTCAGCCATTGGAGGTCACTGCTCCTCTCTAACTGATTTTCATTTGACCTATGAGTAGATTAGAAATATATTGTGTGGAGGCTACATATTTTTTTATAATATGTTCTAGCCCAGGATTGTTTTTTACATTACTTGAATGAATGAATCAATATAGGCTAGTTAAGATTTGAGAATTCTACCTAATCTGGATTACTGTTAACTGTTGAGCCAAACCGTCTTCGGTTACTGTTAAATTGGAATAGGCTAGCAAACTTAACTGTATCGGTAATAATACAGAAGAAACATCACATCTGATCACCTCAACAAACCTAGATGAGGTAACCAAACCTATAATTAAGAGTAGGTAGCTATTGAATTATTTTGTTCTGTTTAAAGAGCCAACTGAAATTTTTAGTTGGTGTTTTTATGTAACTGGGGCTGTCAAAAGCTCCTGAAGTTGTTAGTAAAGTAGCCTACAGGGTAAGGCGTGGTAAACTGCTATTTTTGAATTCACACTGTTGGTTGAAGAGAAGGAAGAATTCATTTTATAGGTTCCCATGTCCAGTTGTCATAAGTTAATGCAGTGGAAATGTGAGAAGTAAGTTTATTCATTTTGTAATAAAAATTATTTATCTCTCACTTAATTATTGTTGGACAGCTTGCATTTTATTTACGATTCCAGATTCCCTGTGAAGAATACACTACCGACTCAACTTAATCAGAGCAGTGCACACAGTATAACGACAACTTTAGATGGATTTTTAATAGAATTACTATGCAACCGCAAACAGATGTACTGTAAAAGCTCTAGTCCAATTATTAATTGTGAGCCTTCGGATGTATTTTTTTTTCCCCCCGATAATGCAGCCTGATAAAGTGATTACAGAAAACTCAAGGCTAATAATATCTATTCCAATAATACTGTATTCCACGAGAATATTTAGTTTTTTTTTTTAAAAAATATAGTACCTAGTTTACATAAACAAAATGTTAACATATGTAAATCTTTTATCAATTGGTAATTGGATTTCGCTTGTGTTTTATAGTTAAGGACGATACCTAAGTACCATTAAAGTGCAACTAGGCCTAGTCAGAAATTTTACCATTTTTTAAACTTACCTCTTTAGTGACATGTTCGATCAGCTTATCTTTATGTTTCTTGTCTGGAAAAAATTTAAGATTGCGTAAATAAATTGGAAATAAGACAGTTTCTCGGCCAATTATTACTGATCAAATGGAATAGCCTAGTGGTAAGCACAGTTAGGCATAAAATATCCAAACCTTTTAAACTCGTGATGAACTAGAATCACCAAACACTACTTTAACGAACAGGAAAGAGGAAATCAACAATGTTTTTAAGTCTTTCATGTAGAATCAGATGTGGACCTAATTTCGGCTGTCTTTACCTAAACTGGTAGAATGACTAATATCTGATCATGTATTTAGGAATGTCCACGTTTTGCCAATGCAATTGTCCAAGTAAGTTTGATTGCCTGTTGTTTGCTATGCCCTTTTGGACAAGGCCAAATGAGGGCAGGGATGCCACCTTCGGTTAAATCGGGACATAGCCCCCCCTCCCCCCGGGATTAACATAGGCTTAAATACAGGCATAAGGAACCAAAATCGGGACTGTCCCGACAGAATCGGGACGGGTGGCAACCATGAATGAGGGGTTTTGTTATGTGCGTGGTGGGGGGAGGCGGGTTACATGAGGTTTTGCCAGGATTCATTAAGTTACCTTTTATTTTGTTAATTGTCTTAAGTTCTAGAAGTGAGTTAGATGATGAACATTTTGCCACAGGCGTGGCAACTTCAGAGATCACTATATTATAAATACACCCTAATATCATTGAGTAGCCTATACACTTACTAGAGTAGCCACTCAATGGAGGTTATCGTTACCTTAACAAATCATACATCATACATCATACATGGGGGTTGCGCTGTTGCAGGGTAGCGTCAGCGGCCCTAACTAGGTACTCTACTTTGGGCATGTCGGTAAGGCAGTTTGGTTGTATTTTAATTACGTACCTATTGCTTTCATTTTAGGTTGTAGAATGTAATTTTTGTTGATGAAATTTGTTTGTTTGTTTCTAGTTTTGTTGTTTTATAATACATTTTTAATACTAAATGATTAAAAGGTCCTCGGAGCCGCTCTGCACTACCAACAGACTATCACGACCCAAGCGTCAGCAGCCCGAACTACATCGCCAAAATCGGTAACAACTAATGGCATTATGTGACAAAGACAACTCTTATACGTGTCACATACTCAATGCTTACATATACATATACAAGCATATATATATATATATATATATATATATATACACAAGTCTCTGCACTGTTTATCACATCATTGCAGTGTAGTGACTCACAAACTTTTGTTATATAATTACGATGTAGTTGTAAGATAGTGATCTCTGAAGTTACCACACCTGTAGTGAAATGTACATCAGTAAGCTAACACACTTCTGAAACAAAAGGCAATCAATAAAATAAAAGGTAACTTAGGCCTAATTAAAACATTCGTGATACTGGGCAAGTTAGGCTAGACCTACCTAAAATTATTAAAACAACTCATTAGGCCTAGAGGTCTTTTAAAAAGTTAAAAAGTGGGCTGTGCGACCCATGACAACTTGAATTGCTCATTTTGAGGTTAGCTTTTTTTGCCCAGAAACACTATTGAGCCAGCAGTACTTTGTGTTGGACCTCTATGACTGTGATGTGTTGTTCGTTATAAAGAATTTTGATGATATTTTCCTGCATCTGCCATTAGGTCTACTTAGAACCTGGAAACTGTCGAGTTCTACTTTCTGTTTATTTCATGTAGAACTGTGTTCACAATCACGGAAACTCTGTGCAAGCTACACTGAGGCTCTTCAGTTAGATAAAACAGAATATCTGCTTGCACTTATTGCATTGGCTGTTCCCGATCCTGGCCATGGCAGGCCATTACACAACCACAGTGAATGTGTTGAAAATAGGCTTTTATTGGAAATTAACGTATAACTTACCCGATATATCTAGAAAATTAAAAGTTGGGGATTGCCTGGGAAAGAACTAGCCTACTTATGAGTCATATTTTACGCTGCAATGGGACCTTTATGTCTGTGTTAACATGCAATATGACGATTCATTTTTGCAATAGGCCTAGGCCTAAGTTTATAGTAGGCCTAGGCTACAACTCTATTGACCATGACGTTCCTGCCCTCATTTTATAGAATTGGACGGTCAACACAGTCAAAAGCCTTATCCTATTCAGGTTAGAGAATTGCAGAGGTAGGCCAGCCTAAACAAAAAAAGAATAGGGTCTTTGCTTAGGCCACTTGATACTCATGCTTGCCTTACTTATATCAGTTAGCAAACCGGGCCTAAACGTGTAGGCCTACAGAGGCAATTAAAGCAGACTAGCTGACTATGGCTAGAACGGTAATACAACAGACATGGCAAAGGAGAAACTTACTTAGGACATGGCTATCCATACCTAACTTACTTAATTAGACAAATAAGACATCCGAGTCTGCCTGCAGATCAGGACAGCTGATATCAACACTATAGGCTAGATATCTTTTTCGAAAAATAGAGGACCAGGCTTCCTGTGGTGCTGGTATTTGTTGCACAGTTCTAGTAGACTACTGTACACCCTATAACAGGGCCTTTTTCAACGTCAAATTACAGGTTTCTAGTAATAGGCTATAATTAGATATGAGATTTGTTTGACGATGTTGACCTGCCTAGGCTACATCCTTGGTCCTCGTCCAATGGCCATACAAAGGATCTCATTAAGGTGTTATACTACAAGCCTAGAAAAGCTACAGTAGGCTACGTGTAATTAACTGTATGCTATTTAACTAAATGCATATAATTTTGTTCTTGTTTGGAGGAACTTTAAAATAAATGTAACCCTCCATCACCTTTCAGAAAGAATGAAGACTTACACTTATTTTACAACTAGAATTTATAAATATATCTCTGGACAAAGTTGATTAAGAGACTGTTTCATTTTAATACTTAGTCTTACAGGTGGCCCTGATAGAGCCATTAATAACACTTGCTATTGAATACAAGTCCAGACAATTTCCAAACAGATTGTAAAAATCACTTGTGATATGCTTACCAGCTGAAGACATGTCCATCGATATGAGGACTAAGAAGAGCACAGATAATAAAAACTAAGAACAAATTACGCAGACAGTGCAACCCTCTGCTGCACAATTAATTAGCCTATTAAAAATAAAATATTTGTCATTGCAATGTTTGACATCTGTGACTTATGGCAATGAATAGAATAGACTATATTGTGTGTCTTGTCTTGCTACACCCTAATTATAATGACATCCAATCCCAATATTCCCAATCCAAACCAAAATCAAGATCCAAGTTTCATTTCATCGTTTCCCCAATGCCAATAGTAATCAGTGTACATGCTTCAGAAAAACAGGTGGGGACAGCTCACTTACTCTACAGATCATAGACTATACGGGGACAGCTCACTTACTCTACAGATCATAGACTATACGAGCTTTTTAAATAATATTGAAGGTTCACTTGCACTACAGGCTCGTATACTATACGAGCCTATCGAAAATAAAAAATAAATGAAGAGGGTTCACTTACTCTACGAATCATTGTGCCTATGAGCCTCGTGTATTATATTTAAAAATACAGTAGGAAGGTTCGCTTACTCTACAGATCATAGTGACTATGAGCCAAGCTTACGAATTATTTGATAATTTAGGAATCGGCTCGTATAGTATACGAGCCAAAATAATGAATAATATAAATTATAGGAATAGGCTCGTATACTATACGAGCCTGCAGAAAAATATTAGATGGCTCACTTACTCTACAGTTCATTGGCACTATGATCCGTAGAGTAAGTGAACCCTCTTCAAAATATTAGATGGCTCACTTACTCTACGGCTCATTTAGCTACTCGTTGCGCGGTTTGCGTTCGTGAAACTTTAGGCGCTATGCCCGGATTCGACTGCTGCGACTGCCTACATAAGTGTATTGCATCACCTCAATTATTTATTAAAACGAAATAAATATGTACGCACAAGTAAATTTATTACATTTTTGGACTGAATACTTTAAAAATGGAGGGAGCATGACTTTTATGTTTAATTAAATTAAACGTTATAGAATAAAACATATTTTGACTAATATCAGGTTATATAATACACACTTGTATGATCCAGATACAGAGCTACAGACAAAACCTGTGGTCCGATTTAGATTAAATTTCGTATCTGGATTTATCCACGAGTCACTAATTTTTTAAGCACGGGTTGAGAAATAATGGCAAAAATTTATAAAAACAGTTCACCAGTTTAGAATATTTCTCAGTTACTGTGAGTTGCAAAAACGTGTATACAGAAGCATTTGTGTACACAGAAAATATAGAGGACTATATGTATACAGAAGATATATTAAAATACAATACGCACACAACTATCAACGTTTACATATGTAAAATTAATGAATTTGTTGTATTGAGTATTTTTAACATTATGACGAAGCCTTAACAAAACATATTTTTTTTTAAGGAGTTCTAGGGTGTTGAACTATATTGTATTTATCTTTTGTGGAAGATTCTGTCCACGATTTATGATTGCTAACAATTTAATACAAAGATTTAAGTCTCTGTACGTGAAGACTAAAAACACGAAACAAACTTTAAAGTGATAGAAAAGATTTGATCAGGATCTGGCGTTTGATACCTTTTGGGAATAAATATAGCCTCTACTTCAAAGGTATACATGGTGAGGTAGCCTCTGGAAGTCCATCTTCAGGTTAACAAAAACGTCAATAGGTCATCTAACCAATTTGGTAATTGGTTTCATCAATTACTTTTAAATTCCAGTAAAACCAACTTTATGGTATTTTCAACAGGTAAACAAAAAAGTCCAATTGATCCAGTGATTAATTTTAAAAATTCTAATCTTAATCAAGTTACTACAACTAAATTTTTGGGCTTAGTAGTTGATGAAAATCTTTCATGGAACTCCCATGTTGACCATGTTGTCAGCAAAATCACATCTGGAATTTATGCAATTTATAGAATGTCTAAATTTTGTTCAACAGATATTTTGAAAAAGCTTTATTTTGCTTTCATTGAATCCGCAATATCATTTGGCATAAGTGTTTATGGTGGAATATCAAAGAAAAATTTGGACAGAATTTTAATTTTGCAGAAAAGAGCATTAAGACTAATGTTGAATTTAAACTGGGATGTTTCCGTACGTGATCATTTCTTAGCCATGGGTATAATGACTGTGTACGGCATTTATGTTTTCCATACCGTTCTTTTGACTAAAAATCTTTTGTCTGAAAGTATGTTACCTAAACTAGGGGATAATCACGAATATGGCACCCGGCATAGAAACAAAATTGCTGTTGATGCCCATAGATTGGAATTTTATAACAAAAAACCGTCATGTGCTGGAAGAAAATTTTTGGAAGGGCTTCCAGAGGGGTTGAGGAAAATTGATGATAGTAAAAAATTTAAATCACAGCTTAAAATATACTTAACAGAAAAAGTACTGTATAATTTTGATGAACTGTACAGCTGATATTATGTTGTAAGTTTAAGTAGTTTTAAGAATTTTGACGCCATTCAATGTACATACTTGTATGATTTATGAATAAAGTTATTTTCAATTCAATTCAATTCAATTCAATTCAATGACCTATTGACGTTTTCTGAAGATGGACTTATTTTCAAGTCCGAAACTATAGTAGTGTGATACTGAAGAAGGATCACTTGACGAAGCCAGGTAACTTAAACCATTTAGCTTAAAGTTATACAAGTTGGTTTCACACCAACATTTCATGCACATATGAAATCTATATAATTAATACGCGAACACGAAGTTTGTCGGTTGAATCCTCCACCATTTCTTAACCGATTTTATCCACTGACGTCTCATTGGAAAGAGCGTGTTGCGTAGATTTGCAAACTGGCCTAAATTTTTTGAAAAAGTCCCTTGGCCTCTGCCACAGTGGCTTTTTAAGTTCCCATGTTATCCTTTCGAAGAACATAATATTGTTTACATCAGCTGTTTAATTTAATTGTGTTCTTTGTTTTTCAATTCAACGAAACGCATTGGTTACATTAACTGATTTTGTGGAAATTAAATATCTATCTATATATTAATTACGAAAGCCGATTCTTTGCGTCAAAATGGTGGGCGACTGGGTAGTCGTAGAACGACGGGAGAGGGTTCAAATTAAAGGTCTCGATCCCGGAAAAATAGTGAAATTCCCCAAATTTTAACACAAAATTAGATAAAACCTTTGACTTAGTCAATAATATAACGTAAAATGTTCTCCATAAGAATAGCATTAGAAGCCATTTGTCTGTTGATTTTTGTTTACCTCAATACTATACAGTATACAATAGTATACAGCTGATCGAGATTCATCTAAGCCAGTAAGCAATATTACATTTGGATTTAACTCATTTGCCAGTAAATTCTGCAATGTACTGTATACTATATAAAACCAGGGATGACGTTACCTACAATTGAGACTTTTGTCGTTATGTCTTAGAATGTTGAAATTAATTTTACTGTGCAATTTGCAAATTTGTGTATTTGTATGTAAATTAGCCAAGCGCATGAAATTTAGTAGAATCGTGGGAGATGGTTAAAATCAAAGTAAATGGAAGTAGAATGGCTGAAACATTTAAGATTTGGTTTCTTTAAACATATGTTCACGAAGTTTACAAAATTATTTTACTTTGATTACATTTCTTCACATTAGTAGGTTATTGTTGTGCTGAAGGAATGTTTAACATGAAATAGCCCCATTGACTAAATAATCAACGATGCAAGATTAGTTAGAAAACTTCTGTTTTGTTTTTATTTCAAAACATATGTTGAAAATTTATTCAAAACTTTTGTTTTAAATTTCATAACATTTAATTTGACACGTAATTGTAGTGTTTAATCTATGATTTTATCGAGTGGAATAACCTTAAGGGGATCCAGGCTTCAGAAAATACATTTTTTAAATTTTTTATGTTTATCATTTTTTTAAGATATTTATTATATCAAATGGGCCTAAAAACTGTTATTTTATTTGTTGTAGCCACTCTATGTACCACAGTACCATTTTATGTATTTTTATGTATCATAACGTAACACATTTTTATTTTTGATATAACTCATAAAATAGTTGATCAATTTTGTTCAACTAGGTGTCTTTTTGTAGCTATGTACACTTACTGAAATCCTGGGTATTACTTTGTTTGTAGGATAATTAGTTTTTATTTTATAAAGGTTGAAAAACAAAAAAATTCTTATACTATATTTCAAATAAAATTGTTTTTATTATTTTAACTATTTGACTTATATTAATAATTATACCCAAAAGTTTGTAAATACTATAAAGAACATCTGGTAAAAATTTCAACATGATAGGACAAAAATTGGCTGAGATATATCAACTTTTCTGTTACAAAACACTAAAAACCACAACTTTCGGGGAATCGCGATCGAAGTCCTAGAAAATACTAAGACGCGCGCATGTAGTATCTGGGGAAAATATATTTTTTGTTATGAAAAACGTGTAGGATACCTATAAAACTTATATTTTCTTGTACATAAATAACCAAATAACAATAAAATACTATAAAAAAAAGAAGTGAATTTTGGCAATTTTTTCACTTTCTGAAGCCTGGATCCCCTTAACAGTTACTCTAGAGAATAACCTGGGAATAAAATTTGAAATAGGTTTGTACAGGCAATACATATATTCCTTTCATTAATTACTATAACAAATTCCAATGGGCGGAAAAATAAAATTGTTTGGAGTAGATTTTAACCAGGTATCTACTGTCTGTTGCTCCAAGGAAAAAAGGTTAAAATAATATAGCCCAACATGCATTGTATATATATACAATCTATATAGATAGTAAAGATAGAATATATAACAGTAAACCCTGGAGGTAGTTTCCGATTCTTTATGTTTCACTAACCAAAAATATGTACCTATATCAATGCTGATGAATTTGTTTTCTTGATTGGTTTCATTAACATGATAATGGAACCCTAACCAATGGCAAGTAATCAGTCGATGATTCGCTTTTTTAACTGTAGGCAAAATAAATAATATAAACGGTAAAATGTTTTCAAACAAAATTTACATCCATTGAATGAAAAATAATATACTATTAACATGACTATAGCTGATATGGCTTAGCTGTCGGCTATCTGTACATTGCATCATAACATCAGACAGCGCTGTGTTATTAACTTAAAAATTATAACGGATTAACAAATAAATACTTTACTATGGTCTTA